GTAGACTTACTTCAGGGAGGTAGCGCCCCTGCCCACGCGAGCTCCTGGTTTTACTCTACTCCCTACTTAGGGGAAACCAGGCCCAAACCCCAATATTATCCTACCCAAACCCCAAATTCCTTCCCTATATCCTCCCCCAACTCGCCAACACGTCTGGCCAGCGTGGTGTTTCAAGGCCAAACCCCCCGTAAACATGCAAAATACAAACCAAACACGGCCCTCAGTCCCCGGCAGCTCAAAAATCTCTGACCAAGGTAGCGGACAGAAAAGATTAAGAGCAGAGGGTGCTAAGAATACCCGGGATGAACCAGGCTACCACTCAAGACGGCTAAACTGTACAAGAATACTGCATCTTGCATCCTATAATATAAGAACCCTCTCAACCGATCATAAACTAATAGAACTGGAAAACGAATTAAAAACAATAAAATGGGATGTAATGGGACTTAGTGAAATTAGAAGGAGAGGAGAAGAACAACAAACATTGAAATCAGGACACCTGTTCCACTACAGAGGAGAGGAACATTCATACAGCGGTGAAATCGGGATCTTTGTACATAAAAAACACATACCCAACATAACGAAAATCGAGACCATAAGCACGAGAGTCATCCTATTGATATTAAAACTAAACTCTCGTTATAGTTTAAAAGTTATACAGGTCTACGCCCCGACAACTGGACACACAGATGAAGAAGTTGAAAAATTCTATGAGGATGTAGCAGAGGCACAACAAAGAACACGAACACACTATACTGTTCTCATGGACGACTTCAACGCAAAACTCGGATTCAAACAAGACCAAGCGGAGATCGCGTTAGGAAAGTACGGATACGGGACAAGAAACGCAAGAGGGGATATGCTTTTAAACTTTCTACACCATCAATGCATGTTTCAAATGAACTCTTTCTTCAAAAAGAAACCCCAAAACAAATGGACTTGGATAAGCCCTGATGGCGCCGTCAAAAACGAAATCGACTTTATAATTACAGATAAAAAATATATAATACAAGACGTGGAAGTACTCAACAAGTTCTCTGCTGGTAGCGACCATAGGATGATAAGAACAAAAGTAATGCTTAACGTTAAAAAAGACAGAATGAAGCTTGTTCCCAAACCAAATGTTAGAAGATGGGTACCACCTGAAAATGCAAAACTGTTCGAACGTACGGTCGAAGAAAAATTACAAAACGAAGAAACAGAAAACATAAACATCGAACAACTAAACCAGAAAATAGTCAAAGCTCTGAAACAAGCACAAGAAAAATGCTGCCCAAAAAACCAAAAAGACGAAGAAAAACTAAGTCTAAGCACGAAAACTCTATTAGAGGAAAGAAGACAACTAACAGATAAATACAGAACCAATCTAACAAAAATGAGACAACTAAACAAACAAATCACTAAGAACATCAGAAAAGATATAAGAGACTACAACACTAGAGAGATATCAAAAGTCATAGAAGAGAACAAAAGTTTAAAAGTCTTCAGAAGGAAACAGCAAATAGGAAAGAAAAATATTTACAAACTGAAAAACACAAAGGGCGAAATAATAACAGAAAAACAGGAAATTCTACAAACTGTCGGACAATTTTATAGCGAACTCTACAGCAAAACAGAAGAAAATGTTGCAACTGACAACATACCAAAGGTTCTAAACCAGGGCTCGGAAGACATACCAGATGTTACTGTTGATGAAATCAAAAAAGCTCTCCTACAAATGAAAAATAATAAGTCACCTGGTGACGACGGGGTCGTTGCCGAAGCCATAAAATTAGGAGGCGAGAAACTGATACAAATGCTTTCCATACTTTTCACAGAATGCCTTGGAAGAGGAACAACACCATCACAATGGCAAAATGCAGTGATCATTCTAATGTTTAAGAAAGGAGATTTAACAAATCCCGTAAACTATAGACCAATCAGCCTCATCTCACACATATACAAGCTTTTTACAAAAGTCATAACAAACAGACTTTCGAACAAAATGGACTTTTACCAATCATGCGAACAGGCAGGATTCAGGTCAGGCTTCGGCACAAACGACCATCTACAAGTTATTAAAAGCCTCATCGAAAAATGTATAGAGTACAATAAACCCCTCGTCCTAATATTTGTGGATTATGAGAAAGCATTCGACACAGTAAACCACCAGAAAATGCTAGAAGCTTTAAAAGAGTGCCGAATAGATCACCGCTACACCACTGTCATCAAAAATATCTATGATAATGCCACGGCATGCGTCAGACTCCATGAAGATACACACAAGTTCAACATTCATCGTGGAGTTCGCCAGGGCGACACCATTTCACCAAAACTGTTTACAACATTATTGGAATACATGTGTAAGCGTGCAAACCTAGACGAAAAGGGCATAAACATAAATGGAGAGCAGCTTAGTCACCTCAGGTTCGTGGACGATATAGTCCTGATAACAGACCGCATAGACCATGCCATCGAAATGTGCGAAAGACTCTACCATACCTCTACACAAGTGGGTTTAAAGATCAATAACTCAAAAACACAAGTGATGACAAACCTTGTTCTGAGTGAGAAGATCAACATAGCTGGAACAAGTATAGAACAAACATCAGCATACAAATATCTGGGACACGAAATTCACTTAAGTAGAGATAACCAGACCAATGAACTAATACGTAGAATAGGGTTGACATGGGCAGCTTATGGAAAGCTAAGAGATGTTTTCCAATCAGCTCTTCCCATCTGCTTGAAGAGAAAAGTCTTCGATCAATGTGTGCTGCCGGTTCTAACCTATGGTGCGGAGACGCTAACACTTACTAAGACGTCCGCAAACAAAATCCGAACAACACAGAGGGCAATGGAATGGTCCATGTTGGGATTAACCCTGAGAGACCGAATACCCAACACAGAATTGCGCCGTAGATCGGGAGTAACCGACGCAATCAAAAGAATATTAACCTTAAAATGGAACTGGGCAGGGCACGTCGCGAGAACGAAGGACGGCAGATGGACAAAACGCATTCTTGAGTGGAGACCCAGACAAGATGCCTTTAGGAATAGAGGACGACCACCAACAAGATGGACGGATGACCTGAAACGGACACATCAAAATTGGATGCAGGCGGCTCAGGACAGAAATTTGTGGGGTGAACTACGGGAGGCCTATGTTCAGCAGTGGACGAGTATGGGCTGAATGATGAGTCCATCTTTATATTTTCTCTAGTTTGTTGTGAAAACATTTTTTTTTATTCCTATTTAGGGTAAAACGTCAAATAAATTTGTATTTTTATAATTAAAACTCTTATTTTTCATTTTAATGAGTAACTTTAACAAAAAGAGTGTAATTTTAATAACTAATCACCCCTTTTAACCGTAAAAATCATTATAAGTTATATTTACAACCAATATGTTGTGAAAGTTACAGCTATTTTTAAAGTTTTTTTACTTGTTACAAAAAGGAAAAAATAATTCATAAAAACCCCCCAGAATTTTTCTAAAAGTAATCAGTGTCCTAAAAGCAAGCAATTTAAATCAGAATCTGCTATCGTTAATTTAAGGGTCAGCTATTTCCTCAATACAGGTAGGAACAACGTAGCTGTAGACTCTATTAAAGTACATTTTTGTTTGATTCTCCCGTGCTGTAGATTTCCTTAAAATTTTAATTTATTAATTCGTGTCAATTTCGAAAAGATTATAACATTTTGACTATACAAGAAATGAAACATTAAAGAGGATGTAGATATACTTTCATATTTTGGTAAACTTCTTCTTCTTAAGGTGTCTGTCCGTTCCGAACGTTGTTGGCGATCATTCTGGCTATTATGATTTTGTTGATTGCTATACGAGATAGCTGTGTTGAGGTCTTTCCATATCATGCTCTCAGGTTAGCATGCCAGGCTATTCTTCTTCGTCTTGAGGCTCTTTTTTCTTCAATTTTATCCTGCAAAATACATTGGAGTAGCTCGTATCTGCCTTGATTTCTCATTATATGTCCCAAGTACTCCAGCTTACGGCTCTTCACGATATTGACCAAATCCGCAGTTGTGTTCATCCTCCGCAGTACTTCTTCATTGGTGACTTTGTCTGTCCATGGTATCTTCAGGATTCTTCTATATAACCATAGCTCAAAATCCTGAAGTTTTGATAGAGTTTCCGCCTTCAATGTCCACGTTTCTAATCCATACAGAAGCACTGAGTACAGGTAACATTTAAGGGGCCTTATTTTTGTTTTCAGGGTGAGGTTATGGCTCTTGAACACAGAGCTTATGGTCAAGAATGCACTTTTGGCCTTTCCGAAATCTCTTGGGTATTGTCCTACGACTCGTTGATTATAGTTCCCAAGTAATTGTATTGTGAGACACGTTCATTTCTCATTTGGTTCACATACAGATTTGCTCCAGTATATTTTCCTTGCTGATGATCATTATCTTGGTTTTGCTGGTGTTTATATCCAGTCCATAGGTTCGACTTGTTTCCGTTATTCTGTTCATTAAGTTTTGCAGCCCTTCTATGATAATGGAAAACACTATTGGATCATCTGCATACCGCAGGTTATTGAGCTTGACTATATTTATTGAGATGCCTTCATCAATATCTTCTAGGGCCTCTTTAAAGATGTCCTCCTAGTACAGATTGAATGTCAGTGGTGAAATTATGCATCCCTGCCTCACTCCCCTTAAGATTTTGACCTAATCTATATATTCTCCATCTATTTGGATTTGATTGGATTGGACTGCTGATTGATTCCAATACAGATTAGCTATAATTTTTAAATCTCTTCCATCAATCCCTGTCCCCTTCTGCACTTCCATCATTTGTTCATGCCTGATCCTATCGAAAGCCTTCTTGTCGTCAATCAGGCATGCAAAAACATTACAGCTGACATCTCTACATTTCTGAAACAATAAATTAAACAATAAACAATTGGTAAACGACAAATAAAAAATCATAAACTAAATAAAAGAAAAGATATGTTTATAGAATATTAATATGTATGACTAATTTCCTTTTGTTGATTTCAGAAAAAATGTTTGCAAATTGCGAGATTGAAACCGATGAATTTGATAACTGTTTAAAAGACAGATTCAACGAACTCAGGCCATATTTTAAAGAAGGTAAGTAACATTTATCTGCGTTTAGTCTATGTAATTATGTTGTAATATTTATGGTTTCTTGTAACTTCCCCAGAGGAAAATATTAAAGTATCCTTGAGGTGTTCCTGTTCTTGTAAGTAACATTTATCTGCGATTATGTAATTATGTTGTAATATTTATGGTTTTTTGTAAGCTCCTCAGAGGAAAATGTTAAGGTATCCTTGAGGTGTTTCTGTTCTTGTTTTTTAGTATTGTAAACTTCTTATTTTGTTTTTAATATCTTATTATATAAGAATTTCTTAAAACTATTGTAATATAGTTGACTAGTATGTATTGCCAGTTATGACATAAAACTCTTTCTTTCCTAAAACATCAATAAAAAAATTGAAAGTTAACCCAGAGAAAAATGAAAGGTTTAATATTTGGAATCACTATCACGTCATTATCGTTATCGTTGTGGGTCTTAGCTTGTTTTATGATTTTTCATTATTTTTATTTGTTCCATGGTTTGTTGTTCCAGTTGATAATAGTGGGAGTTTTCAGATCTTGATCTAATTTTCCCATATATCTAAGTTTGGAATCTCCCTTTGACCTTGTTTCTACTGGCATGGCGCCTAATAATATTTATCTCTCCAATGGAACTACAGTAGAAATCGATCCTTGGCCTCCTTCAAACTATGTCTCCAACATTACCGGTCTCGCGTCAATATTTTCCAGGTTCTTATATCTAGCAAATTTTGCGCATCTGCTCCTACTTTATCCTCCAACCTTTTCTGTGGCCTTTCTTTTGGTCTTACGCCCTTCATTTGACAAGTCAATTTAGCAATTTTTCGGTCTATATTCTCACTACAATACCAGTCTATTGAAGTTTATAAAATTTAACGAATTGTGAGATCAGTTCCTTTTTAAAGAGTTAGTAGATTTTATTTACCTGGATCTCCATACGCCGTTTTCGTTAATAGGTGCAAATATCTTCCTTAGGACTTTTCTTTCAAAGACTTCCAGTGTTCTTTTTGTGTGTTCTGCTAACACATATGTCTCGTATCCATAACATATTATTGGTCTAATAATTTACAGTATGAGTTTTTTGGAGCCGAACACATTGGTGAGTGAAAAATAAGCCTTGTTTTTCTTTACTATTCTTCTTTGAATTTCTGGTTCTTCTGTCCCATCTATGTTTAATGAAACTCTCAGACATATGAGCCTTTTACAGTTTTAATATCGTTCTTCAATTCACCTGTGTGTCTGTTAATATATAATATGTACTATATACTTTATCATCCCTGTTTGACATGTCCATATGTGTGATCCTGAATATTATGGGATCTTACTTTACTTACTTACTTACTTACGTTAATTAATACATTATATGTTTTGTTAGCAATATATGTCTCTTTTTTAACCTCGTCACTGACATTGTTATCAACACAGTAACTAGTAAACCTTGGTATGTAAATGTTTTAACGCTTTCAATGTTGTAATCTTCTGTGGTTAGATTTTGTAAGTCTCTCATTCTTGATGATTTGATGACATTTATGTATTTCGTTTTCATTTGATTAAATTTTAGGCCACTATTTTGGGCTGGTCTATCGAATTAAACGCTTTTAGCTAAGATATTGACATCATCTACAAACGCTGATATCTGTACACTTTTTGTTATTATTGTCCCTCTTATGTTAACTTCTGAATATCTGAATATTTTCTCTAATGTGATATTAAATAAAATACAAGATAAGGTATATCCTTCTCTTAGGCCTGTTCTAACATGGACTGTATATGTAAGTTCATTTTGAAGTCGAATTTTGCTCTGTAATCTAAGTCTATCTTTTACTATAGCAATTAGACGTGTTTAAATATTAAACTCTTTTCATGTCTGGATCCGAAATTTTCTATTGATGTTCATCATCATCATAATCATTTGCTCTACATCCTATAGTGGATCTTGGCCTGCTCTAGGACCAGCTTCTATCCGGTCTTTGGTTACAAATGTTTCCATGACTCCATCTCGTTCATTCTTTCTAAGTGGCCTAGCCACCGCAGCCTGTTTATTTTTATGAACCTATACCTGTATCAATACTAGGTTCATTATAAAGACGGTAAAGCTCGAAATTATTGTGCCTACGCCACAATTCGTTTCCCTGCCGGTGCCGGTTTAACACAGTCTGCCGACCGGTGCTGATATGGATGGCGCGCCCAGGCTCAAAAATATCTCTTAATTTTATTTTAATTCAAAAAAACATATTTTGAATACAAGTTTATTAAAATGAGGAAAACAGTTAAGTACAACTTTTTTGGGTTTCAAACTTAAATGAATACTAATAAAATACAAGAAAAAAATTAAGGGCGTACTTTAAAAACTAAAATAAAAATGTACCTAATAACATTTATACAGTTAACATGAGGTAGGTAATCAAATACCTTTACTATTGAAAAGCTGGTTTGCTTGCTTTTACTGAAGCAAAGTTTTCGATGATATCATTTATATTTAATTCATTTAGCAGGTCCTCGTTAATGGATAAAACTGCTGAGAAGTTTAAATTTTCTTAGGAAATTGCATTTCTTCAGTAGGTCTTTACCCTTTTTAGTGTCGAAAAATAGCGTTCGCCACTTGCATTTGCGACCATTATGGAGAAAAAATTACGCAGGCAAATATTAACGTTTGGAAACGAAGATATTAAGTTATTTTCGTATAAAACCTGTACCAATTCTAAAGGAGTATCTATTTTTAATTGGAGAAGAGACGTTAACAAATGCTTAAAAATGAACACATTCTTGGGGAAAATATTCATCCAAATTCTCCTTGTATTTTTGTTGTAATCGGTTGCCGATCTGAAAATATCTTTTTCTTCCGTAATTTTTAGTTTAACCAAATATTCAAATGCTCTTGAACAATTTTATAACTATCAGATCGGCGAATAATCTCCGACTTAAGATTGATTGTCTATTAGAAAAACGTAACATTCTGTTCGCATTTTTTTGCTTAAACTTACATCCGAATTCTTTTCTCCTAATTGCAATATTTTTTGATAATTCTCTTCTCAGCATAATTTTCGTTCACTGTTAACAACATTTCTTAGGCCTCGTAGTGATTAAAACGAACACGTAAGAAATTAAAGTAATCTGCGACAGATGAGCGGCTGTGCTTAAATCCATATTTTCCTTTTGTACTGCTTCATTAACCTCATTAACCCTTTGTAAAACGTCAAGCCATAGTGATAAAATTATTCCGTTTTCCAACAAATCCAGTTTTTTCTATAGAGAAGCTGCTTAAACTCTGTTGACACTTCAATCAAACATATTTGAATCAAACCGTAATTGCTTTTTAACGCTTTTACGGTATCAAAACGAGAAGACTAACGGGTTGTATTCACTCTTTTAGGTAACAGTGTCTGCCTCGACTTAGGCGAATCCTTCATTACATGAGACAATAACTCCCACCTGTATGTAGACAAGGAGAAAAAATTGTAGATAGCTTGTACCAACATAAAAAAAGATGTTGCTTCCAAACAACAATCTGCTGCATTTTGAACAACCAAATTTAAAGAGTGAGCAGCACATGGCATAAAGAGAGCTAAATCATTGTCATTGTAAACTTTAATACGTGCTTGCAAACCAGAATACTTTTCATCAATGAATCGATTGGACAAAATATTTAGTAATTCGTTACATATATCTTTTGATAGATATGACGTTTTGCCTTTACCTAAATTTGCTCGTTTATTAATATGATATTTTAAAAATTGATCATATTCTGACAATAGTTCCAGTATACCTAAGTAGTTTCCATTCCGTTTTTCGCTAATTCTTTCATAAATACCTCTAAATTCCAATTCACTGGTAGCCAGAAACTTTATTACACCTATAATTCTTTCTAGTTCTTTAACCCAATATTCCTTCGCAGTACTAATTTCCTTTTCGAGTTCTACATCAACTCTTCTTTGCTTTAATAAGTGAGTCGTATAAAATTTTCAGATTATCTATGTGATGATTGAATCTTTCATGTCTGTCAAATATTTCCTTACTTTTATTTCATCTTGAAAATCCTGTTTTAAATTGGTTCTTCTTTTTTCAACTAAGACACAATAAAGACAAAATATATTGCCAGTGCTCTCCAAGTAAATTTCCCAATCGCGGTGAACCACTTCTCCATTAACCAGTTTTTTTATAAAATATTTGCTTACTGGCATATCTGTTTTGTTCGCCGAAATTTCTTTTTGACATTGAAAAGTCTATATCTGTAAGATTCTGATCGACACATTTTTTTAGAATCATTTCTGCATAAATATGGCAATCTTGCCAAAGTGCTGAATCTTTAAAATTAAAGTGTAAAGGTACGCTTCGCGCGTACTGCCCTTGAACCTTTAACAGCCCGGTGCTACAGCCCCGAAAAGACCCCTTGGTTAAATCGGCGCTGTTCCATGCATGCCTTTATAAATATTTCTGAGGATTTTGCGCTCAAAAGAGAATGAATGATCTTCATTGCTTTTTCTCATGGTCCACGTTTCAGTTCCACCCTATTTTTTCACGCTTTTGTCTTCAAATCACTTTAGTTGCTACATCTTGCAATATGGTTCTACACTGTCTCCAATGGTTGTTAACATCTTCAACTATATCGCAGGGTTTTTTAACGCTTCTACGTTAAACCTCTCCTCTTTAAATCCTCTTACTTTCTTAGTATTGGAGATTCTAGATATTATTTTCGTTTAGACTGGGTAGGGGTCCGAGTCTATGTTTGGTTCGCGTTTTGCACATATACGTCTATTATGTCTCTGTGTAGCAAAATACAGCTTTATAGAAACTGACTTTACCTGCGGCAAAATGCCAAAATTGCTTACGAAAGCTGCACTCTCTACCGTTAAAATTCTTTTTTTTTTTTCGATATAACAATCTGATCAAAAGATATCGAATTTTTACAGTCGAGGTGATATAAATTTTATTTAAAAATTTGATTTTGCCCGCGTACCGACATTTAAAATCGGCTGTCGCTTCAAGCGTTGCTTCTGAGAGAATAGTTCGTTCTA